GAGACGAGGAGGAGAGCGATGATGAGAGAGAGGGAGAGAGAGAGAGAGAGAGATACTATCAGAAGCATCAGAAGTACCAGACGGGCCGATACGAACCATCAGGAAGTTGCACCACAGCTCCAAGTACGGAAACCGTTCTCCGAGAACGATCCTCCAGTAGGCGACGGCCGCCTCCAGGTCGAGCCCTTTCTGGCCGGGGTTTTTGGCGTAGTTGAAGGTGAACTGGTAGAGGTCCTTGAACTTGGCCGGGTCCCGCAGTTCGCCCTCGAACAGCGGCAGCTTCGCCTTCAGTTTCTCGATGCTGTCGCACCTGCAGTACGGCGACAGCAGATGCTAAGGATGCAGTCGGTGCCATAAGGGGCTCATCACTGTGGGGACTGGGGCGGACATCGGCGCACGTGATTACAGCTGCGACGAGCCCCTCTAGCTGCCTGCGGTCGGAAGCGACTACGTAATCACAGATCTTCATCATCCACCTCGCCACGCGCGGACTTTGGCTGGTCCGCCCAGCCACCGGCGCCGGCACAGCACATCGCCGCAACATGAAAACATTCAGAGGTGATGTAACGCGGGCAATGCGGCAGCTCATGACTCGAACCACCACAGCGGCCATTTGCACAGGCGCACGGGTGACGTCACGGGTGTCGTCATGGTGCCCAGCGCCTGCAGCGGCGTCCACCGCCTACGGCAGGCTCCATGCACGAGGAGCCAACTGGCAGGGCCACTCACCCGATGTCGTACATGCCCTGGCAGAACTCCTGGCGCGTGAACTCGCACTGCGTCTTGGCGCCGAACTTCCAGACGATGATGAGCACCAGCCGGTTATCGGGATGTAGCTGGAGGTCCTCCAGCAACCGCATCACACCGTCCACCGTGATCTTCTCCGGTTCGTGCGGGTCTGGCGGGGACACACATGGAGCGTTAAGTCAGTCAGTCCAGCGCTTCCGTCTGCACGACCTGAAGGTCACAACAAAGCAGTGTATCTGGGGGAAGGTGTTGCCCCACCCTCCCAACTACGGTAAACTGTGGCTGTAGTTTGTTAGCTTTGTTGACTGCGAGGCCGCTGTAGTTTTCTCACCTCGGTACCGCATGTAGAGCTGGTCAAGCCGCTTCCGGTCCACCTGGGGTCGCGAGTCCTTGTGGTAATACTCCGGGTTCTGGAAGTAGTTGTCCGAAGCAATGTCCAGCTTCCAGTCATTGAGCTGCAAGCAGTAGATGGCCGTCTTCTCGCCCGACTGGGTGAACGACATGAAGTGCTTCACCTTCTCACGCTGTGATGACTTGAGCTTGTGCTGCACAGACATGTGATGGGTGAGACACACTGAGCACAAAGTCATGTGGAATAACTCTGTGCTACATGATAGATGCATCAGCACAGCTACATCACTAAATCTTCTTCCCAGTGATGCTCACGCAGGGAATATAGTTTGATTTGCACTGATTCTGACAAGCAAGATTTGGGCCCACGCCATGAACTTGAATGCATCATAACTGAATATGAGCCTGGTCTAGACTTAAAAGTTCTGAACATCTAGGTTTCAGACCTGGGTCCACAACTGAGCCCAAATTGATCACGACCCAACTAAAATAATCACGCAATAGTATAAAATCCTTATATCTGGCTGTTGACCCAATGGCCATTGGCTTTGTTTCATCACATTCTGTAGTCCACAAATACATACCACTTTTATGCTAAGTAGTTTTAATGTCATAGCCAGTATACTTGCATCACAAAATCTTTTGAAGGCAAAAAACAACAGCATTGAGCTCAGACTTGGGGCTAAAGCCAAAGCCTTGTGAAAATCACTCCTGCTTGGACTAATGTACAATTCCACTGGTTGGACTCCAGACTTATATGAAGGCCCTCAGACATGGGTTCAGAATCCAACATGTAATGTGCGGAAAGGATGATCTGTGAACTCATAATCAAGACTTGGGACTCAGGCCTAGACTCAGTCTGATGTTTCTTTGTTATATCCTGTTCTGATCTTGACACAGATGATTCAAATTGGGATAAGATCATCTGAAGTCAATCAATGTAGGCACCATATTTGTTCAGCAAACTCTACATATTCCAGTGTGATATTTCAGCTTCTCAATCACATTATGACAGGATGAAGGCTAACATCACCTTCCATAAGCAGATACCATGCTTGCAGATCATCTTTAAGATACTTCTCTCTGAGGGCAACCTTTGTGCAAGCTTTATTCTTAACCTTTTGATTGGATGGTCATGCTATGTCATTGGGGCTTTACAACGCACTCAGCTGCTGAGGCTATATGGCGTTGCCTGTGTCTCACCCTGGCAGGAAGGGCGGGCACCACGGGGAATCAAACCCCGTACCTCTGGTTTTCCAGACGTGCAGTGGTTAACGCAGACTGTTAACCACTACACTACCGGCACCCCTTTGATTGGATGGATTTCTGGGATAAAACAAATAAGCAATTAAAGCACTGATGAGTAATGTTTATTACATGTGCCCTGAAGCCTCAATATAATCACGAATTCACAGGATAATTTGTGACTGAAAATGACAATACTCCATGCCTAGAGCTTGATGTGCTATAATGCAGGACAAGGCGTGAACCATCTAAAATTACTTGAACTTTAACATGGCCACTGCAAACAGACGCAGGTCATCCAGTCCAGTTTAAAAAGCACAGGTTGAACATGAGCTTGGCCAGGGGATGATCAATTTTACCCACTCTGAGGCTTTCCAGAATCATCTCCAAGGGGTTTGGGGTAGCTATGCTTAAGTTTGCAATAGCTGCAATCAATTTAATACCTAGTTATTCTGTATAAAAATTGGATACAGCTTATCACATCACTGACCTGCAACATATTAAAGTAAGGCCTTGGCTGACAGGAAAAGTAATTTTGAGGAAATATTTCACACCAAAACAACTGAGTTCACTGCAATCTTTCCAGCCAATGCAACAATGGAATGTTTGGCAATCAAAAGCTTCTGAGATGGCTTTTTAGACAAGACAAATAAATTTTGGATGGGCTATTCATGCCAACCATCCTTGATCATGCATAAAGGTTGCATTGAGATCACAGCCAAACCACATTTTTACTAGGAAGGCTGTTGTATAGGGTAGTGTTTGAGGCACACAAATTTTCTTCACCACAAGAACATCAATAGGATCCCCTTACTTTGATTTTTTAAATGTCTGAATAGGTCATCAAATCAATATTTTCCTCAATATTTTCTTTTAAGAGATTAATGTTAATTTTTCAATTAATTAATCTCAAAGGCCACTGTGTGAGTAATGGTTTCTGAAAGGCACAACAAATGTGCAAAACATTTAATTCAACTTACAAAATTGCCTGCCTGCATACATGATGAGCAATAATGGTTTTCAGTAGAAACAAACTGCAACATTATAAGCTTATGATTTTCATGGCTGTGATGGAATGTATGCTTCATAAAGAATAAGAGTTGCTGATAATAAATAAATAATATGGGTAGCATATGAGCTTTGAAACCAATATCTATGTGCAATGTGAATACAAACTGAAAACAGATTAACATAAGAGGCTGAAATGTCTCTACACCTCATGGCTTATTAAGGTCCTTACATTGAGTGGGCATTAATGTGCATGATTCTTAATTCTCATATTCAAATAAAGGAAACTCTTATTTTCAGGATCAAGCCTTACCATGATTGCTGAGTGAAGATACCGGAAGTGTTGTTGACCCTCACGGCCTTTTAAATTCGCAGATATCCCACTGATTCGGCTTTTTAACAAAGTTAAAACATACTTGTGTTGGCAGACTCAACAACAAAAGAAGTTCATGACTTCTTGATTAGAGTGGCTCACTGGTCACCTTTGCTCGCCAGATAATACGAACTATAAATGGAACTAGACGAAAGCCTTCTTCCCTGGTTTTAACGTACAGCTCTGCTGAAATATTCAACAGGCAGTCTTGCTGATACCCCTTGTCCTCGCCTACCGCAGCGGGAAGAAGGCAATTTACCGAAATAGCCATTTATGGACATCCGCGTCGTATTCGTCTTGCATTTCGATCAGCTGATTCTGTTCCGGAGGGTATAACAACAGCTGGGTTTGTTCATGACTCCAAACATGGACAGACATTTGGCGAGCACCTCATACCGTACCGCGGGAGGGTTCATCGAACAGTACTGATGGTAGTCGTCAAGTGACAGATCCAGTGCAGAAGTCGCATATTCCGCAAAATGCTAAGAGAGATGCATCGGTACAGCTACATTGTACCGCGTGTTGGCACTATATGAAATATCACTGGATGTATGAAAAGTTGCAGATCTTTTGTCCGTTGCCAGCCTGCGTGCCCGCTTAAATGCACGGCAGGTTCGCTTCTGTCTTCATTTAAAGCACCAAGATTGCGACCGCAGTCGCCTCGGACAACAAACGCGTATGCTTTCTGTGTATTTTACTAATTCAAAGGAAAAAACTGAATTTTGCACCAGTCCGTTTTGCATTTGTTGATGTGCCCCACATACGTCGCCAATTGGTGCCCGAACCCGTACTGCACGAACCAACATTGCCATCTTCGTAACCATCCCAGCGTACGTGGCCGTCTGTCCGACGTTGCAACACGCGGCGTACCAAATGTTACTTCGATGTTTGCGTTCGTTCCAGAGCTTCCTACAAAACGCAGGATAATACCACGACCAGCTGCCCCATACTGGTGTGGCAATGTCGCAGACTCGACTGCCGCGCAGGCTCCGCGGCAGCTTATCTGTATGAGCGTCACCCAGTCCCGCGGACGGTCGACAGCACGCCTACCCGTCCTCCTTTTGACGCGACTCACGCTGACGCCCAGGTGCACCTGGGCACAATGTGTGTGTGTGTGTGGGTGTGGGTGCGTGTGCTCCACGCATACCTCACGTCATCCCAGCCAGTGTTCGAGACAGAGCCAGGTCAAAGCTGGGCACAATTTCCACTGGATCGAAGTCTGGGGCGACAAAATAAAAGTGCACAACCAGTGGCATTTTCTATTTCAGAAAACAAACCTTTCGGACGTATAAATACATCTGGACGCACTGCTGCGCTACAAATACGCCCACATCCGGCAGGCGCTCACGCAGTACCCTTCACATACACCACCGGTTTCCTATCGCCTGCACCTTCCGCTTCCCGGCCTTGACCGAATGCACGTGACCAGTCCGGCTGCAACGGCCCTCTCACAGCGCCAAAAGCCCGCCAATCAAACCTAACCCGACGTAACCCGCCGCCACGGAGCGGTCCGTCACATGAACCTCCTGCGGACCGCGAGCAGGTCGGAAACACCTGGCACAGCTAAACCCGTAGATGGCGAGGGGGATTGCCAACTGCAGCCCCCTTCACAGTGGCTTGGCCGGCTGGGCTCTACGTGCACCAGCTTCCTGATGACATCACGGCAAAGCGTCGGCCCCGCTGGCCTCAACACACCAACGCGGAGTCCAGGACCCAGGGGATGGCCAATGTGACGGTGGGGAGGCCTCTGCTGTCAACGGAGCGTCACATCCAGCTCTTCCGAAGGCCAGAGCGGCTGCTCAGTTTGGGCGACCTCAGTCTGGTGCTGACGCTAGCCCGTCTGACCGTCACATCACATGGGCTAGTCCAGTCCCGTCCTGGCACCTTGTCTGGGAGACTTGGCCACTCGCCGGTGTCACGTCAGGTTAGCTCATGGCATGACTGTTGCCCTGGTCGGCTACTGAGGTCAAACCCGGTTGAGCCTGGCTTGCCACCCGCTTGACTTCCAAGTCCACTGTTCAGGTCAGCTGCTCTGGGGTCACCTGCTGAAGTCAGCTGCAAAAGTCAGCCCCGCTGAGGACAGCCGCCGAGGTCAGCTACAAAAGTCAGCCCTGCTGAAGACAGCCGCCGAGGCCAGCCGCTGAACCCGCCGCTGAAATCAGCCGCTGAGGTCAACTGCTGAGTTCCGCCGCTAGGGTCAGCCGCTGGGGCCAGGCCTGGTCGGGTCGGGTCGGAGCGGCCGTCACGTCTCCAAGTTGACCCGGCGCGTGTGGAAGCCCTCGGGCGCCGCGTCGCGCAGCCAGTCCGGATCAATCATGCACACACTGCGCATGTACTTCTTGGACGTCTGCACCAGCTCCGCGAACAGCACGCACGCCGGCCGAGACATGAACAGCACCGAAGATGGGTGGATGTGCACCTTCTGCAGCGTGCCCACCTGCCGGTACAGATACCGCGGTGAGCACAGCACCATGGGGGGAGGGGAAGCAGCAGAGAGCACGTCCGGCAGGGGGACATCAGAGAGCACAGTGTATTAGCGAACTGCAGCGAGTACAGCGTAAAAGCGGACAGCGGAGAGCGCAGCATGATGGGTACAGCAGAACACAGCACTCAAGGATATAACAGAGAACACAGCATTCCCAGGAGAGACAACAGAGGGCATAACACTCCAGGAGACAACACAGGGCACGGCACCACAAGGGACCGCAGAAACACACCACATGCGGGGGACAGCATCACCACACGCTGGGGACAGCAGAAAACACACCACACCAGGGGACAGTAGAGCGCAGCACCACAGCGGCCAACGCCGGCTACAACACATGAACAGCAACAGAGATGGATGGATGCAACGCTTCCTACCCAAGACGTCACCACCTGCCGGTTTGCGGGAACAGCCCCAACTAAGAATGGCACTGAGAGTACGCTGGGCGCGATGATTCGCATTGCCTCTCCAGTGTCCAGTAGAGAGCAGGAGGGGGTGGGGGCACTCAGTGCGGCAAACGTCAATAGTACGGCAGTCTGGAGCACGCACGTTCATACTCGTCCGCACCATGCACAGACCACACGCATCACGTCCAGGCCGGTGTGACCGTCCCAGCGGCCGGCGCCGCCTCCCGCCGTACCGTGACGTGGTGTCCGTCGCGGCTGAGGTGGGCGGCGCACGAGAACAGGCCGGCCGCCAGGCTGCGACGCACCGGCTCCGTGCTCTGGCCCGATGACGTCACCGGCAGCTGCGCCTGCGCGCACAGCTGCAGCAGCTGGCGGCGGATCTCGGCCGCGTGCGCCAGGTGCCGCTCGTGCAGGTAGTTCTCCCGGCACCACTCCTGTGGAAGAGCGCGGCTCGTCAGGGGCGCCCCGGCAGCGTGCGTGCCTGGGACTGCAGGCAGCTCTGATCGCCAGGTTCTCGGGCCTTGACCATGCGCATAACCGACAGTTTGACCCAATGCACTTACGTATCATTCCATATGCATAGCTGGAAATCTCCTCGACCACACGCCGCAAAACAAAGCGCAACGGGGATGGCACCACAGCAGGTGAGCAGTTTGTGAAAATGCAAGGTCCACCCTATCCGAAGCAGCATTCTCGTCCCGGGCCGAGTTTTTCCATAGACTCGTCCGACTGTGACACCACAAAAGCCCCGTCCAACGCACCACACCCGGTCCGGCAGTCGCTCACGCGCACACGCACGCAGCGGCGCGCGGAGGACAGGGACTCGAGGCGCCGCACGCGTGCGGGGAGCACATCCGGAAAACAGCGGCGAGGTGAGGTGGGTGGCCAGGTCATGCCATCGTCCGGCGCCTCCGCGACCAGTGAGGTGTACTCTCGGTCCCGCGCCCGCCGACACGGCCACGGCCGTCACCGCCTGGCCTCTTGCACCGGCTGAGACAAGCGGTGGCTCTGACCCACAGATAGACGCAGCGCAGGAAGCATGGGGGCATGGACAGAGAGCTCACAGGTCTTAGCCGTCAGGTGTCGACACATCCTGAACGGACAAATACACCGAAGGAGTTCACGGAGGAAGACAATCGCACTCTCTGTTTCGGTACGTGCTGCACCCGGGCCAGAGAACGGCTGGTGTTGATCTCGAGCAACTTTGGAGTCACGTCAACAGCGGCCCAGTCAGCAGTGGGATAGTCGGACATGCCGAGATGAGGCGCACAGGCTTTCATTAAGGCCTGGAAGGTACCGAAACAAGAAGCGTCGTATTGGTGATGTCGATGAGTAGCACTGCACCGCAGGGTGCAGTGCTGACTATGTTCTGCAGTACTGCCGTCCTCGACTATGTTCGTTCACGACGGATAAGTGGCTGAGGAGTGGGGGTGGGGTGGTGGGTCTGGAGTCGGGCATTGTCGGCGTAGGACACAAGTAGAAAATAAAGCGAACTGACGAGGGACACCAGACGACCACACGGCGACCAGCGGTCGGAATGTCGCTCGTTCATAACGACACTGGAGGGGATGAGCCTGATCTGATATCATCTATGGCAAGCTGGTGATCCAATATAGTGATACAGTAGTATACATACATGCATACATACACAACGAAGATTAATATAACGCAGTTTCGGGAGCTCGTAGGGATACACCATGGAGACCAATTTCTTTTGGCGAAGACAGGTCACTCATCTAAGAAGCTCAACCGAATCGACAAGACAATGGAGCAAAAATTGCGTTTAGTCTGAGCAACTAGCCTTCCGCCCGACAAAGAGAAATCGTTCCTCTCCGTTTCAATGTAACGGTCTTTCATAAGTTTCGACAAAGAGCGCTCGCAAAAAGGACATGTTTATTAAATTGCATGTACATATGCATTGACACATGCTACATAATTATCACCACTCACTCGGGAACGATGCTGGGCTCCTGGACATTTTTGGGAGCAAATAAATTCAGCCTTCGCGCTGAATTTTGTGCTTCGCGTGCTTCGAGTAGCCAAAGTTAATTTGCAGTTACATCAACCGCATTAATTGCACGCCCAGTCAATACTCGTGCCAAGGATCAATACGTTTAAATGGCAGGCATTGCAATCCCCGCTTCAACGTGATGTACCTCATCTCCCTTAGATCCCATGACCTAGATCTGATACAGCTTCATGGTAACGCGCTTTCAATGTCACAATAGGCTGTGAACAGCATTTCAATAGATGCAGAGGAAAAGACCACAGATTTCCAGCGGCCCCAACAAACTCTACCGCCACAGATATTAACACAAGGTAGCTGGCGGCGGAGAGCGGCACCCCACGGCCTCGGCCACACTGTGCCGGCGGCACAGCGGCCGGGGCGGGTCAGGTCAGGTCAGGTCGGGTCAGGTCTGCCACAGTCTCGCCCCGGCCACCACCAGCACCAGCAGACTGATCACCAGGCCAGACGGCCCGCCGAGGCCGCCGCCCCGGTTGCAGCAGTCCTCGTTGTAGCAGAAGCACGTCTCCAGCATCTCGTTGGCCATGTCCTGCCGGAAGCAGCCGTCGCGCTCCGTCTTGTCGTAGATGCCGGTGGCGTTGTCACCGCTGTGGCCGGTGCCGCAGAACAGCGTGAAGTTCTTCATCTTGCGCGAGTTGGTGTTGACGTCGCTGGTCCAGAAGACCCACCTGACGCACGACTCGCCCGGCTTGGTGTTGCACCACAGCTCGGCCGGGCAGCCGCCATCTTCGCAGAGCTGTTGCAGCTTGGTGATGTTGGGCGGCGTGTGGTTCATGGAGAGCACGAACGGCTCGATGCAGGGCTCAGTCCGGCCGTCACACGACGTGTCGTTGTCGTTGGGGCTGCTCCAGTCGACCACGCCCGGCCACGTGAACTGCCAGCAGCGCGTGGCCCGCAGCGTCTGGACGGCCAGCAGCAGCAGGCACACGGAGGTGAGCAGGCGGCGGCCGGCCATGGCGCGGGGGTCCGGCTCCCAGGGACACCGCAGCCGCAAGCACTGGCCGCCGTCCGGCCGGCGGGCTATCGGCTACAGCTGACGTCACGCCCTATCGCAGGCGACCGATGGCCGGATTCACCCGTCGGCGCTGATCCGAACCAATCACGAGATAAGCTCGATGGACCAGATACCACAGCTCGAAGAACCAGATAACGTCAAGACGGGCCCGACCGCCGCGGTGCTCGCATGCTGTCAATAGCCACGCGTTGCCAAACGACCTTCGGCACTATTTTGCCCTATTTTGCCGCCACTATTTTGCCAAAAACGTTTGAGCAAAAACTCACGCTCGGCATGGAGTCGCTTCAATGCGGTGGCGGGATCAGGGTTTCTGCGATGCGTCACGTTTAGTGTTTTTTGGCGCTCCCCATCCAGCATGGCCATGATGCCATATTACAAAGCCCTCGGCTCCCCAGGCGATGCTACGCTCACATCCTGCATGCATTCAGAGGCATCTTAGCGTCACTGAGGTGAGTGCGCTGCGTAGAGCCCAGTGGCGGATCAAATCAGCACTGCATAATGCAACTCAATGTCAGGGTATTTCCTTGCAAGTGTCGCTGCTATCGTGCATGCTGAACTCATGCTGCCCTTCCTTCTCTGGAACCACGTAATCTACCAGCGTATGCGTAACAGTGAGCATCTCGCCTCAACTCTCACACGGAGACCGTGCTAAGCAGCGCCGACGGAGCGGCGGCGGTGGCGCTGGCCGCTCGGCGCTCCGCGTCTGCAAGCGCAGCCCGTGCCCAGCGACCGTTCTGGATCTGGCCGTCTCCAACTGAGCGGAACGGCCGCGCGGCGTCGCGATGAGCTCTCGCGCCTCGAGCTTCAGTTAAGTAGCGCGCCTCGATTCCTCGGGAAGTCTGGTTAGATGCGTGACACACACGGCAGAGTCATCCGCCACAGCTCTGCAGAGAATGGGAGAGCGGCGGGGGGGAGGGGCGTAGGGGGGGGGGCGTACGTCAGCGCCAGCGTCGCGGAGTCATTCATTCCAACGCATGCACATGCGACGGCTGTGTTTTATGTCCTCCCAGATCTGGACCCAGATCAGTCTACGGAGGCGACCCCGTCTGAGTGCAAGTGCTCGTGTAATTTCCATGCTGTCAGCGCGCATCGCACGACGGCGCCGCACAAAGCGAGAGCGCCGCCCCAGAACAGGGGAAGCGCGGTGGCGCCTACCAACGGGCTTATCGTAGGCGACGCGGGGAACGCGCCCCTGTAGCAACACGCCCCTTGGTGATGGCTCTGTCCGGCATCCTCTCGCTGAATCTGCGGACCGAGTTGTCGGCGACACATGTGTAGTTCACCCTGAGCCCGGTCACTGAGGGATACAACTTAGTCATTGCTTTGTAATCCAGGCCACTAACCAGACGAGGCCCCTTTAGGATGTCTGCGGCTTCGAGCACCTTGCGTGAACATGCTCAAAATAGTCCGTATGAGAAACAATATAGCCTATAAGTAGCCCCGGCGACCCGGTCGCCAACCATTGCGCATCCTTCTTAGAGTACAGACTAGCCCGTGGGTAACCGCGGAGTTTCTCTCGTTGCGGAAGCACGTGCGCACCGCCTTTAATGTTGGAAACTTGAAACCGTTCAGTGTAGGTAATTAACGAACATTATCAGGGCGATGCTGGATCTGACGCCCGCTGATTCCGGGGCGAATGACTTAACCCATAGTGTGAAATCGGCAGGATAACAAACCCCGTCCATAAGTAAGCCCGTCAAACAAAGCCCGTCCATACGTCAGTAACGTATCCCGATGTAAATCACCTCGTCAATATAAAGTGCCCCGCCCAGAAATCCCCCCACCAGGCACGCCACTAGATTGCGAGAACCGTTCCGAATAGCTGCTCCAATCTTGAGCTTTAAAAGGGCGCTACGCAGGGGCTCCTAAAGCCAGCTCACAGTGTAGCCTAGCACAGCGCGTAAGTCGCGCTTCGCCGTGGCTGACGAGGTGCCGTGGAACCAGAACACATCGGAGGCGCCGTGACGGTCGAAGGACGCTGCCACGCCAAGGCGCTTCCACACAAATGACTCCAACTTTGAGGTATGAAACGACTTCGTGGCTATGCATAGTTTTCGAAAAAGTATGTTGCGCTTCGGAGAACAGCCGCCAGTCTCCAGAGCCTACATCGGTCTAGCACGTATCTTGTTTTTTAAAACCTTAGACAGGCTAGGTAAAATCGATCTGTAATGCTGTGGGCCTGCGTGGACTACGCCCGGCTTATCTAGAATGAAATCCTCTTCCATTCATTGTAACACAAGATGCCAGTCTCCCTAAATGCAACTGGATACATTTCGCAGAGACGTAAGTGACTAGCTTTTCAGATGACTACGACACTATTATTGCCGTTGTTTAGGTTGTCGGGCCTCAGTGGCCACATCCGTCCATCCCTCGCCACCGGCGGAGCATCAGCCGTCTCGTCGGGCCTCAGTGGCCACATCCGTCCATCCCTCGCCACCGGCGGAGCAGCAGCCGTCTCGTCGGGCCTCAGTGGTCCACATCACTCCATCCCTCGCCACCGGCGGAGCAGCAGACATCTCGTCGGGCCTCAGTGGTCCACATCACTCCATCCCTCGCCACCGGCGGAGTATCAGCCGTCTCGTCGGGCCTCAGCGGCCACATCCGTCCATCCCTCGCCACCGGCGGAGCAGCAGCCGTCTCGTTGGGCCTCAGTGGGCCACATCACTCCATCCCTCGCCACCGGCGGAGCATCAGCCGTCTCGTCGGGCCTCAGTGGCCACATCCGTCCATCTCTCGCCACCGGCGGAGCAGCAGCCGTCTCGTTGGGCCTCAGTGAGCAACATCCGTCCATCCCTCGCCACCGGCGGAGCAGCAGCCGTCTCGTTGGGCCTCAGTGGGCCACATCACTCCATCCCTCGCCACCGGCGGAGCATCAGCCGTCTCGTCGGGCCTCAGTAGCCACATCAGTCCATCTCTCGCCACCGGTGGAGCAGCAGTCGCGCCGGTCCGGCCGTGCACCACCGGAGGTCGTTCCGACGCCTCGCGCAGGTCAGCGGCCCGCCCTTGGCCAGACTCGTCAGGGGGAGGGGGAGGGGGAGGGGGGCGGTCTCCGATCGGGTGTCGCAGAGGCGGAGGCGGCAGCGACCGACGCCACGGCGGGGGACGGACGAGTGAGCGGCCCGCTTCCTCCCCGCCCCGCAGCTCACACCTGTGTCCCTGCATGTCGAGCGGCCCGCCTCCTCCCCGCCCCGCAGCTCACACCTGTGTCCCTGCATGTCGAGCGGCCCGCTTCCTCTCCGCTCCGCAGCTCACACCTGTGTCTCTGCATGTCGAGCGGCCCGCTTCCTCTCCGCTCGGCAGCTCACACCTGTGTCCCTGCATACTGAGCAACCCGCACGGGGCCGACGCACCGAAATAAAGCTGAAAGCCTATAGATCCAGCGGAGGGTATGCCGGAGGGACTTGAGAGTTTGTTGAGGCGTCTCCGGATATACCGCAGTGTCTATACGTCCACGCCATGGTCTCCAGATACACCCGAAAGTCCACACAATCCATAACAGGCCTGCAGACCGGCAGCTGAGGGTCCACACGCCTGCCGGGTAGCTCACACTGACCTTGTTCTTGTGGACCTTGCGGTAGGCGCGGAACACGTTGAGCAGAGTGATCATGTCGCCCTCGGGCGCCACGAACTTCTGGTGGGCCGCCAGCGCCTCCTGGCGGCCGGCCGCCGGCGTCAGCAGGATGACGTCAGCCGACAGCAGGGCGATGATCGTCACCACCTCCTCTCTGAGGACACGGCCGGCGCCGTCAGCGGCCCACAGGCGGCAAACCAACACCCTACTGGGGACTGTGGAGATGTGTGGCAGCCGACGGATCTGCCCTCAACTCTCGCTGTTTCTGGGCAACCGCGCTGTTGTTCGACCATCAGTTCAGCGGCCATCAGTTGCTTGGTATGACTTTTCAATTGGGATGATATAGTGCATGGAAAATGAAGCTACTGGAACTTGGACTACGGACATTCAGTTGCAAAGGATTATTTCTCTCAACTCACCGTTGCAGTAAAAAAAAAACACCTCGGCAGCAATAGCAGGCCAGGCTTATCACAAAATCATCTGGACTTAGCATTCTCGAAAAGGCATGTTAATGTTAAAAAAGACAGAAAATCCAGAATAAAACCGATTTTAACCCGGACGAATACGGACCGATAATACGACGCCAGCGGCAGCATAACGTATTGTTAAGCTGGCCTCACCATAGCACTGTGGTCAAATGTGCTGATATCCTCGAAATAAAACTACTTGTGACAATGAGCGCAGCTTGAAACGTCGAGTGTCGGCAATGTAGTCGATGCTTTCTCAATAACGTTGTGCAACCAAAACGAGAATCGCAACCAAAAAAAAAAAATAATAATAACAGCTATCAGCAAAAGAGCTGTTAACTTGTAGTGGAAATAAAACAGGAACTCAAGACCTTTCCTGCTTCCATCAGATATACTAAAAATAGTAATGCTCTTCCATAAGCCTCCCTGTTCAAGAAGAAATCTCCTAAATTTTTACGATGTTAAGAACGAAACCTGACAGAGAAGAGAAACCTCCCACGATTAGGTCAGATATGGTGCAGACTTCGCCGAAAAATCGGCTCTCCGGCAGCGGCCGCGTCAGCTCTCACGTGCAGCCGTGGTCCTTGGAGGCCAGGATGGCCTTAGCGAACTTGGGGTCGAGCGGGAAGGCGGACATGCGCCGTCCAACCGGCGTTAGCTCCGGCTGTTCGCCTGCCGACACGGCGCCCAGCAGCTGCAGCTCCTTCATCGCGTCATCGATAGCCTGTCGACATGAGTGACGTCACAGTGACGTCACGCTTGGACACTGCTAACCGCCTGAAGGGTGACATGCCATGACATGACATGCTGGCATCACTACAGGCTGGCATGTCACAACACCGACGGCGCTGTCCAGCTCATGCGGCTCCTCTAGCGTGTTTTTAATGACGCGCATGTTCGAGTGACCAGAGAGGGACCACTGCCCCCACCGCCGCATGTCTCGTGGCGCACTTGATGATTCAGAATACCAGACCCCGTGCAGATTAGATTCGTCGACGACAAAGCAATCGATACTTTAGCGACTCTCACGGGCAACTTCGATTACCCAGTCCTAGGCTCGATCGGGTGGGCGCCATGCGGCCGTTTATCCAACGTGACACGCGGATCAGCTTCGTCAAACTAAGCCGTAGTCAGGCTTGTAGCTTGGCACCAAAACAGATACAAACAGACCTTCAGTTTCCAGCCCCTTCGAGTATTAAGTTATCCCCGCAGCCGCGGCGTCGGCTGCCACCGGGCGTCTGTGCAGGATATGGGAGGGGGAGGGGTGTTGTCAGCACCTTGGTGTCGGGGCGGTCCAGGAAGTCGAAATTCCGCACGTCCCGAACACCGATGGTGAGCAGCTGGAGCGCCACACTGGACAAACTGCAGCGCTGGATCTCGGGCGCCGTGTCCCGCGGCATCGCCTCGAACTCGGCCCGCGTGTACACCCTGCCAGCGACACCGGAGACAGTTCAGGCCAGGTCAGGCAGACAGGACACCGTGTCACACGGCGTCGCCTCGAAGTATGTATTCGAAGTTACGTGTGTGCACCCCGCCGGCGACCCATGCGAGGTCGCGCAGCAGCACAGGGCGGCTGTCAAGCAGGTGGCATTGGTCAACTGTCACGCTGAAGTAGGAGACAAACTGGAGATCGGTGCGATGCAGGTGGGAGGGAGGGACACAGGTGATATCAGGAACTCTCGAACATGACCAGTGAGATATGGAGGGACAGATGGACATGCGTGGAAGCTAATATCTTTCAGATCAGTATTATCAAGGCTGATCTGCAATCCTTTTTCACATAAGCCCATTTCTAAGATCTATTGAGGTATGTTTGATATTAAACCTAATTACATTCTGCCCGAAAACAAGTCAAAAACGTTCCCAGTTTGAAAACAACATCATTCTTACAACCAGCGCCTTCTGGGCCTGGCGCAGCAAAACAAAAGCTGCACCATCACACAAGATATCGGTCAGCCCGGCAGCGAGCTGACACGACAGTGGCAGTGCCTGCCGTGACCTGACCCGAGCCCGAGCTCGCCGGTCGCCAGCTGCCCCCCACCAGCGCCGCCAGTCGGCTACCAGCCGGAGCCGCACCTGTAGCAGGAGCCGGCCGACTGGCGGCCCGCCCGGCCCGTCCGCTGCCACGCTTGCGCCTGCGAGATCTTCTGCACGCGCAGCATCTCCAGACCCGTACCCGGCTGGTAGCACCTGTCCGCACGGCCGGTACGCGGGTTAGTAGAGCCCACCGCCGACGCACAAACTACAGGACGTCACCTGGCGGGCACAATCACGCGCCACGCGGTCAGAGCCCGCCGGCTCCACACGCGCCGCAGGACGTCACCTGGCGGGCACACTGAGCTCACGCGCCACGCGGTCAGAGCCCGCCGGTACCGCACGCGCCGCAGGACGTCGCTTGGCGGGCGCACTGAGCTCACGCGCCACGCGGTCATAGCCCGCCGGTGCCGCACGCGCCGCAGGACGTCACCTGGCGGGCGCACTGAGCTCACGCGCCACGCAGTCAGAGCCCGCCGGTGCCGCACGCGCCGCAGGACGTCACCTGGCGGGCGCACTGAGCTCACGCGCCTGGGAGCGCGGCGCGCACGGCACGGCGGCACAAAGCTGGTATTCGGGTGGGCAAACGGCCTGCTGTCCATAAGCTGACAGGATGACGGACCGACGCCGCCAGGTTACAGAAGTGACACGTAAGACGGGTTCGCAGAGCACTTGGTCATCATACATCTCCTTCCAAAACACTGCAATGTGGGCAAAGGCACCTTGTTGTTGTTTAGTGGTGCTTTCGGGCTCGCCGACCCCAGTGGTCATTTGGCGCCCATAACGAGTTTTGTTTTATCCAACTGATGAACCGTGTATAGAGTCCCGACGTCGGCAAAGGCACCTTGAGCATTACATCAATACCGAAGTCGTCATGTAACGGCCCCCCTCTCGCCTTATCCTATCGACTGACAGCATCTCATTCTGACTTCCCTGCAGACCCATCCACAATTTTGCGTGAATATAGCTGCACGAACGAGCAGCGACGCCGATTCGTTATGCCTCGAGAACACTCCGCTCTATCGCCGAGCACTGGCAACGATGACAACTTTACAACTCCATTAACTTTTCATCGATTTTCGCTTCACTACAGCCGCTTAGTCGGCTGGAAGATCTAGCGTCGTTAGCGTGCTGTAGGTACATCAACGACACCACGTCCCTGCTGACTCCTCACCTGGCCTTCACCAGGCCGCTGTCGACGACGAACTTGATGTTGGGCAGGGTGACGGAGGTCTCGGCCACGTTGGTGCTGACAATCACCTTCCGCTGGCCGGGCGGCGTCGGCTGGAACACCTCCATCTGCTGCTGCACCGGCAGGTTCGCGTACAGCGGCAGCACGCGCAGCCGACAGCAGCCAGTCAGGTCCTGTGAAGAGCAGGTCCGCCTCAGATCGGCGCCCACCGGGGAGCGAGTCGGCCTCAGATCGGCGCCCACCGGGGAGTGGGTCGGCCTCAGATCGGCGCCCACCGGGGAGTGGGTCGGCCTCAGATCGGCGCCCACCGGGGAGTGGGTCGGCCTCAGATCAGCGCTCACCGGGGAGTGGGTCGGCCTCGGGTCAGCGCCCACCGGGGGGCGAGTCGGCCTCAGGTCAGCGCCCACCGGGGAGTGGGTCAGCCTCAGGTCAGCACCCACCGGGAAGCGGGTCGGCCTCAGGTCAGTGCCCACCAGGGAGTGGGTCAGCCTCAGGTCAGCGCCCACCGGGGAGTGGGTCAGCCTCAGGTCAGCACCCGCCGGGGAATGGGTCGATCTCAGGTCAGCGCCCCACCAGAGTGCCGTACAGCGATGGCGTGGGGAATGGGCCGTCGGGTCCTGCGCACGGCGAGCTACCACAGATAGGTAATACATGCCGCCAGCGGTCAACAGCAAACACTTATACAAATGAACGTGGCTGCTATTGTATGCCATCGGCGCACTCTGAAATGCCGGTGGCAAATCAAATACGCTCCCAGGTCGTGTCGCAACGCTCATTATCGAGCTCAACAGACGGGGACCGAAACAGCAAGGCGCTTGATGGTTTCCAATCTTCACAACTGTCTGCGACATCGCGATATAACTGTTTAGCCTACATCGCTTTTCGCGCCCAAGCTCTTTACACCAGCAATCCCATGACATGGGTCCAGCGTTGAGCACACTCCCGCCTCCTGCCTCCCACCATGCACACATTCAGTGAGCAGCAGTCGGCCGCACCTTGTTGACGTCGCGCAGGTTCTTGACCATGGCCTGGATCTCCTGCTGACCGGTGAGGAAGACCAGCACGTCCTGGTTGGGCGGCGCCGTCTGGTGCAGCTGCACCACCGACACCAGCGACGCGAACACCGGGTCCTCCTGCTTCTGCTTGGCGTAGTACACCTGGCCGGGCGACGGGACTGGACTCAGTCCACCTCGCCAGTACGGCGGCGGCTTGGCGGACAAATGGTAATGACAGTCCACTTATTGACAATAAAAGTGACAACGAAGGAAATACCGGCGTAAACGAACATGCGTAGTTGGGCTGGGGGTATCTTGGCGCACCAGTTCTTCGGGGCACCACTCATCTTGGTGAATTTAGGGCGCAGCACATCTCGGGAGCCGTTAAAATGCGTACCAATGCTGGTCCACTTCACACGGCGAAAGGCAAGACAGGCGGTACCCCGAAGTTGTCAACAGCATGCAATCCCACACGAGCCGACCAGGCCCTTAACCGCGTGGGAGAACAGGGCCACGGAATCCTGTTATGAAACAGACATATACCCACCGGCACAATCACGCTGCACGGCCCGGTCGCGATTGCCCAGCTGGCCATGGGCGCCAGCAGGCTCACCTGCACGGGGAACTGGCGCCCCTGTAGGTAGATGACGGGTGCGCTGTTGAAGTAGCGGCTGAAGTGGTCCACGTCCATCGTAGCCGACATGACGATAATCTGCGCCGGCGGGGCGGGCAGGTCAGATGGGCTCAGCCAACGACACGGCGCACGCGTGACAATGTTGCGTGCATACGGAAAGTGAACGCGTATTTTTGAGACATTCTTTACTCGAAGCTTGTTTGAACTGAACTTGAGCATTGGGAAGTTGGAGTCTAAAACGCATATGGCCGAGGAAACCAATGGTAACTAATATTTAACTACGAAATGAGACGTAAAGCAGCACGAAACCCCGCGAATCTCCTCACATCAGGGCGTCTCCCGCCCTCGATAACACGCCTGCACTCCCAGCTGGCCTCACCTTGAGCTCGGGCAGCTGTTTGACGCGGCGGATCTTCTGCACCTTCTTCACGATGCCGAACAGCACGTCCGTGTGCACGGTGCGCTCGTGCGCTTCGTCCAGTATGACGCACGAGTAGCGGCGCAGCAGGTGGTCTGCGGACGGACGGCGGCGCACTGAGATGGCGGTCCGACCAGAGTCGCGGACACGGAGACGGGTATCGTCCGTTCATCCGGGCATGCGACGCACGGACGGACAGGCAGGCAAACAGCCGTCAGGACACGCCAGTCGTCAGGATACGCCAGTCGTCAGGGCACGCCAGCCGTCTGGACACGCCAGTCGTCAGGGCACGCCAGTCGTCAGGACACGCCAGTCGTCAGGATACGCCAGTCGTCAGGGCACGCCAGTCGTCTGGACACGCCAGTCGTCAGAACACGCCAGTCGTCAGGATACGCCAGTCGTCAGGGCACGCCAGTCGTCTGGACACGCCAGTCGTCAGGACACGTCAGGACACGCCAGTCGTCAGAGCACGCCAGTCGTCAGGACACGCCAGTCGTCAGGACACGCCAGTCGTCAGGGCAAGCCAGTCGTCAGGACACGCCAGTCGTCAGGACACGCCAGTCGTCAGGGCATGCCAGTCGTCAGGGCACGCCAGTCGTCAGGACACGTCAGGACACGCCAGTCGTCGGGGCACGCCAGTCGTCAGGACACGCCAGTCGTCAGGACACGCCAGTCGTCAGGACACGCCAGTCGTCAGGACACGCCAGTCGTCAGGGCACGCCAGTCGCCCGAGCGCTCGGCAGATGGGGCTGTGAGCCCAGCATACAACCCAGCGCGCGCTGCTGACACTTAGTGCATAGCCAGGCGCTTGGTCATGCCTGTCGGCGATGCAGATGCGTCGAGCCGACAGGCAAGGGGCGCTATAGAGCTTAGTCGTCGTGCCGTGACAAACAGCATGGTGAGCTAACCAACATACTGTTTATCACAGGTTAGCGTCGGCAATGCGAGGCTCTAGTGCGTTATCTGGTAGCCATAATGAGGGACCGATCAAGTAAGCCCCTGGCTAGCTAGCTGACACGACTGCGCGGTGTCGGCGGTGTGAGGCTCCAGAGAGGGCTGCTACACACAGCGTTCACACCACTGCTCTGGTCCTGCTACTGACCCGACATGGCCTCCCGCAGCAGCATGCCGTCCGTCATGTACTTGATCTTCGTCTGCGTGGACGTGCAGTCCTCGAAGCGGACCGCGTAGCCGACCTTCTGGCCGACCGTGCAGGCCATCTCATCGGCCACGCGCTGGGCGAGGCTCATAGCAGCTACCCGCCGCGGCTACCGACACACAGAGACATCTGTCACCGAGCGGACACGCCGCTTGAACGGCGGCGATACGAGATCGGAAGCAGCTCGCTTGTTGGGCTAGGTGGGCTAACGTCAAACGGATGCGCTCCTAACCGTACATCACTTTAAGGGGGCACATGTACTGAGGAAAAATACGTAACTATGGCTTAAGATTTCTGACACTCAGTCATACCTTGAGGGACAAACTGTCATTTCTTTCCGAGCTTGATTTTCAGCGCTTGAGTATTTCATCTGTTTGCCATCCCGACATGGAACTTTTCCCAGCACCTCCAAAACGGCACGAGTGCTCCTCAAGAGCAGCACACTTAGCAGGGCGCGAGCCTCACCTGGGTCACGGCGACCATGGCGGTCTTGGTGAGCCCGGCCTGGTGGCAGAACTGCGGCACCTGGGTGGTCTTGCCGCTGCCGGTCTCGCCGATCAGCACGAGCGTGGGCCGCGAGCTGATCTCGCTCGTCAGCCGCGCCTGCAGCCGGTACACGGGCAGCGCCTGCCGCTGCCGCTGGATGGCGGCAGGGTCGGCCGCCGCCGCGCCCGCAGCCGGCTTGTGCCGCTTCAGCGGCGGCTCGCCGTTCTCGCCTCCCGGGTGCAGCGCCATGTCGTGCCAAGTTGGGCTCTGCCGACAAGGCGGTCCGGCGGTGGTCAGCCGCGGACGGACAGGGACGTCGGCCGCCACTGGTGCCTGGCGACACATGCAATGGCAACTGTGATGTGGGGGCGGTGTGAGGGATTGCAAACAAAAGTGTGCATACAATAAGCATGTATGTCCACAGTTCATCGGATTAAGGACATAGGGTGCAAAGTTCATGACATCAAAAGTTTGCAATGTAAAATGTTCATATGGGGTAAAGCATGTCCAGTAAAATGTTCATCATGAAAGTTTATTTTGCAAACTTGCAAACTATGACAGGACCAAAATGTGTCTGTAAAAGTTTGTAAACTGATGTAGCATACATAAAGAAAGTTTTTCACTTCATCAACATTCAACACAACTTTCATCACAATGCAGCAGCCAGCTGCACACAATACTATTGACATAGTTGTCATGTTATCCTGCTGGAGACAGTACATCCCCCAGAGCAGCAGCATACATGCTGGTAAAACAACAGAACACATTTACACATCAACCTGCCTGCATGACAATTTTTACCACTGGTTGGCTTCACCTCTCAGAATCAGAGCAAGGGATCAGAGCATACACAAAGCAGTGCTTTTTGTGTATGCCCCAGACCTATCCCATACACTCAAAAAATCCAGGTTGACAGTGGAATTATTGTGACCAAAGTTTGACATTCTGTAATGATCTACACAGTCTGTTCTGCCCCCTGATGTCACATTGTCCTTAAGGATGGCCTTTGCCACCAGCCACAGAACATCCCAATCAAGGGCAAGTAATGACTCAAATCCACCTTGCCATGAGTGTGTGGATTAATGTCATGGGTGTGTGATGAATGTGTGGTGTGTGGTGTGTGGTGTGTGGAAGAGACATTCTAACCAACTGCACTATAGGGACAGACAAAATGAGCTATGGGGAAGGGGCTGTGCGGCAAAAAAAAAAATGGTGCAAACTACTATCAAAATATACTGACAAGCTGGTTTCTGCCTAACTTGACCCACTTCCTTCTCAATGTTGGGGAAGTTGGGGGGGGGGGGGCTTGAGCCACCAAAACCTGAATGAAAAATACAATTCCTGTTAAGCAAACCTTGTCCAGACTGCAGAAAATGCACATTAAAGGACATGTCTGGGAACACACCAATCTTCCCGCAACAATTTCAGCACATGCATCCCATAAATGTGAGAGCTCTTGAGCTTGATGTACAGAAGCAAATAATTTTGAACTAAGTATAGACAGTGTTTCAAGTAATTATGAATTTGTGATGGTAAGATGAAGCCGAAACATCTCCTAACATTCCTTTGAGGAAAAAATTGTGAGTTCAGTGTGAGTTAACCTGACCTGATTTCAGTGCAATCATGCTCATATATCAGCATACCAAAACCACATGAGTAAGCATACTGTGCAATGAATGGATTTTGTCAGACCAGACTGGCTTTGTGTCAAAGTCAAGCCCAGGAATTCACATTTACCCCATTCTTCAGAAATAACCCTTCCCAAACCTCATTGCGATCAAGACATCATTCGCCGCTTTCAAATCCACTTATTTCCAAAGCACCAACTGATCAGGCCTAGAAGGAACACCAAGGAGTCAGGAGCCTGTCCCTTGTTGTCGCGTAAATAATGCCAAGCGCTCCCCGGGTATGAACTCACGCTCCACTCAATGCGACACCACGGCCCTAAGCGATGCAAGGCGCCCACTGCCGGTGCATGCCACTAAGCTTCGCGAGCCTTACATCACGGTACACGTCGGAGCTGCGCAGGTTTGGCTGCCATTCTTGGCAACGTTGTGCTTCCACATCAACAGACTGTGCTTCAAAATTCGTATCTAAATTTTCCAAATTAAAAATATCCGTTGTGCTGCGAAAACGGTGATGCCGTCTGTTACAAGATGGCTTTATTTTTGCTATGTCTTTTCCAGTGTCGCCTGCCGTGTAAGCACATCCCTCCTCACAAATAATCAAAATCGCTTCACACAACTGTCAGGGCATATTTTAGTGCATCGGTCGCTTAGACCGTGCTTTCTGATCGGTTTACACAAGCCGGCCAGGAGCATACTCCGAAAATGAATTGGGGACAGAACAAAGAGAAATAACGCAACCTGCCTTCAAAATATGTCAGCACACGGATTTCTTCGTGGGCTTCACTAGCTTTCTTTCCAGTTGCCGGAGCTGAAGCCCCCTCCCCAAATTAAATAGAAAACCGCACCCCTGAAACTTGCCTAAATCGCTGGCAAAGACGCACAAATATAAACTTTCCACGCGTGTAGATGGCATTACTACCATGTCACTCTTGTTTTATTAAGTACGTTGGTGCATTGCCGCCGCGGGGTTTGTCTGTCACACCATCATTGTTGGGCCGCTCGTGACCAGACCGTGGCCGCCACGCCGCAGTCCGCTCGGGCCACCCGTGCCGCTGGCGCCGCGGCTGGCGCCTGGGTGGCGGCGCCCTGCCGTCAGAGCTCTGTCTGACCTTCTGTCCGGGACCCGGGCCGGGCCGAGAGGTGACCGTGTCAGCCGGCGGGCCCGACCTTGCCGTGCCGGCCCCGGCCGCTCCCGCTTCCTCGGGGAGTGGTCCGTGGCCTGCACCACCAGCTCCGGAGTGTTTCCGTGTCGGCCCCACGTTGCCTGGCCAAAGGACACGGTAGACGGCCAGGTTGCTGTTGGTGACGTCATCTGGTCCCCATATGCACACAGCCTCATTGAATCTACTAACTACGGCTGAGGTGACAAATTGAGATTTTGGCTCGACTTGTTATAACGGTTCCAGATTACGTAGACAGACATATGCCTAGGTCTCAACGGTGGATCTAGGATCGCATAGGGCTCCATGCTTATGGGATCCTGCGATCATAAGCTTGAATTTTTTTGGATGGGGGCTTCAGGGACGTGTCGATAAAGGGATGTATTCGACAAGTATGCTTTTGTCCACCATCGAATTTGTTTTGACCGAAGCGATAAAATTAACGCCGCTTCATATGGTCTAGACCAGACATCTGATGAGGCTTTTCCAAACCAACTTCTTTACACATTATACCGGTTGGAGCATTCGAAACTCAAATTGATCGCAAGTTGCAGCTCCTGCCACCAAAAGAAATAAGCCTTCATATGCGAGCACCGTCCGGTACCAGCGCGACGCGTCAGACAAGCATCTCAGACAGACACGTCTGGTCCGACACGTGGCTGGGGGGGGGGGGCACGCGATCATCCCCCGGAGCGAAGAAGCTTGTGCTAGACATCGAGCAAATTCGCCCAGATTCAAAAAAGCTCTGGCAAAATTTGTCTTCCCTTGACCTCTCTCTCACCTACCCGGTGAAAATCATGATTATTCGCCTGGGATTTGTGTCATGCGTTCAGGTCTGATGTCTCCGAGTATTAATGAACTGGAGCTGCAGCCACATCTGCGGCTCTCGTGTCTGCTGTCGACTTCACTTCACGCTTGACTGGCTTTGTCTCTATATCTATCCTTGGCCGCTATAGCCACCATACAGAGCTGACCCGGCCGCTTCAGCGTCCCACTTCCTCCAGGTCCGACACCCAGCCAAAGACAAACGGCGCGTGATGTATGACCACCGGTGCTGTCGCCTGGCCGCGGCCGGCCCGGGCTGACGGATCACGTGACCGGCCGGCCGGCTCCGGTCGTGTCGGAGCCCGAAGCGATCGTATCACGAGCGTCGCGGCCAGCTGACCCCGCCATAAAGCACCCCGCCGTGGACGGCGCTCGGGTGAAGGTCGGCGCCGGCTCCTCCCTGCTCTCCTCCGGCGCGGCCCGCTCCGCCCGGCGGGTGACCCCGGCCGCGCCCTCCCCGGCAGATCCGTGCCGCTCGCACCGACGCCCGGCCCAGCAGCGGCTCCAGCTCTTCATCTGCCTGCGGACTGGACCTCCTCATTAGCAAACAACCGGGCGCAGCAACTCTTTCCCGGCTTCTGGACAGGCTGTTCGAAAGTGCTCAAAAGCGATTCGTTGCGAAATTCACGCAAAATCCTTGTAAGAAACACTAATGATTTTCGGCGGCGTTAGCGGCGCCATGACCTCGCCGGCTGTCAGCTGCCTGGTGACGCCTGTGCCGGGGAGCGTGACGCAGCCGTGGCGGTGGCGGGCGACGTCACGCGCCGAGCGGGGCTGATCACGCCGAGGCGCGGCGTGACGCTCCGCTGACCCGTCCCACCCTGACCCGACCCCGAGCCCTCCCCCCCCCGCCCCCACCCCAGCCACCGACGCCCCGAGCTACGTCCCTGCTCCTACATCCGTCCCAACGGGCCCGGTCAGCGGAAGGTGGAGTCACAGGCACTGACCGACCGCGGGTGGGGCCGGAGGGACAGGTTATGGGTCCTCATCTGTGTTATCGGTGTAGGTCATCCGGTACCCGTCCGTCACACCTGAGGGACAGGTCACGGAGGTTGTAAAAAATCAGCGAGAGGTTGCCGGTCTCACACGTCGCAGAGGAGGCACGGACCTCACCCGCCACAGGCGAGGACAGCGCGTGTGCTTACCCGTCACAGGCGGGGAAGGCCACGCGTCCTCACCTTTCGTGGACAAGGGACAGGTCCACTGCCATCACCCATCTCATGTGAAGGATAGGGTTACTAGCTCCCATCTGACATAGCTAAGGACATGTAAAGCATCCTAAACCGCCGTGAACGTGGCGGAGGTGCTGCAGGTCAGCATCTGCCACAGATAGGGGAAGACACATTGGCACTATCCCAGCCAAAAAAAAATGCAGGGGAGGCTATGATCGCAGCATTGAACTATCGAAGGAGAGTGGGAAAGAATAGACAGACAGAGAGACAGCGAGGTGTGTGTGGGGTGGGGGGGGGGCTATGAAAAGGCCAATTCGATTTGTGAGTCAGGGGCACCCGATGTCCCCGAATGAAGGAGAGGATGGACG